ACATTTATTACAATTTTGAGGTCAAACAATCACATTAATTGGGATCATTTAGATTTTGTTATGATATACTTTAGCAGCATTCAGCATGTGTTTATTCGGCTGACTGACCGATTTTTTTTCTTCAAAAAGCTTTATCATACAATCGAAATGAAACCGATACACCACGCGATAAATGTTTGTCACAAAAAAAAAAATGAAATTAATTGAATCAATTTCGGTGAGTGCTTTTTGGAGAGGGAGCTCCAATAATTATAAAGTGACACTAATGAGCTTCACATTCATGTGTCAATGGGCCACTGACAATGGCCATTTTTATGATTTTAAATAACGTCAAAACAATGCCACCGACGAAAATACAAATGACAACAAATACACATAACAAATGAATTATTCATGCGCACAGACAACCAAAATAAACAATTTTTTTAGCAAAAGAAAGACGAAGCATCTTCTTGTTTTAAAAAAAAGTGTATCTTGCACACAAGTGCTAAACGAACGTCAAATGGAAATATATGTTCTTTTTCTTATAGAATTTTGTTGTTAATTTCGGTTTTTGTTTTTTTTCCTGTGTGTCTTGGCACATTTTCACACAGATTTTCCACTATAACGGCTTGACTATGTGATCAACTGACTGATTCGTTGGTCGGCTTCGCTTAGTTTTATGTTATACACATTGAACAGTATTGCGCACAAACAAAAACCGAAAATACCAGCAAAATAGCATTCTATTTTTAAGTTTTACGTAAAAGTAAAACGTAAATGTCTTGTGCGGTCGAAAGTGACTTTTCAGTAGAATATTCAATCTCAAAAAAGTAACATTTCACGGAAGTTTTTTACAATTTTTTTTTTATTCGACAACCAATCAAAAGAAAAAAGCAAAAAAAAATGAAGTACACCAGCAGCGTGGAATTGTTGGCTTTGAATGATGACTGTTTTCTCGAACTCTTTAACTATTTATCAACCGAAGATTTGTGCGCAATTAAGCAAACCAATCAACGTCTATGGAATCTTGTTGAATTTTACTTTCAATCGCTCTATTTGAACAAAGCGAAAGAGGTACGATTGAAAAATCTGGATGGTTCCAAATTGAAAATGGTATTAAGTCATTGCGGTCAATTGATAAAAAAATTGAAAATCATTTCTCCGCGACGGTACAGTGATTTAAATGATTTTAATGAAGATGGTTGCTGTGATCGTGATACATACATCAGCCACTTGATCGCCAAATATTGCAGTGATAAATTGGATACATTATGCTTGGAAAGTGTTTTCATATCAGGTCTTGCCTCATCGAATTTAACACGTGTGCTGAACAATTTGAAAACCATTGAATTGAATAAATGTTATGGTGATGCCGATCAATTTATGAACCATTGTCCAAACATTGAAACGATTATTCAACGAAATTGTGCATTCTTTTTGACATTTGATCGAAATTATTTGCTACAAAATCAACATCGAAATCTTGAACGTTTAATCATTCACAATGAGAATCAAACCGATCTGGTGCCCGAAGTGTTGTTGGTGTTTTTTGAAAATTTACGTAATTTAAAATTATTTCATTATATCAATCGATATGCTCCCACTCCAACGGAAGTATTGCCAACAATCATTCAATCGGCCAAGGATCTTGAAGAACTGTGCATTGAACTTGAAACATTTTCAACGGCATTCGTTTCCGATTTGAGGTGTTTACATCAGTTATCCAATTTAAAACGGCTCGAATTCAACACGGATGAAATACCGGTTACATCGTTTATAAATGAATTGGCGATAAGCAATCGTCTTGACTGCATTGGCATATCGGATTTGTGTTTGGACGAGGGTGTATGTCAAGCGTTTATGAAATTTACCAATTTAAAAGTGCTTAAATTGATTTCGTCATTGCGTGTATTCGATGAATTTTCCGCATTATTATCACAACGTCTGTTACATTTGGAAGAATTATATTTGGTACAATGTTTGGACATTTATTTTCCGGATGTAATGGCATTTGTTGAAAATTGTAACCATTTAAAATTATTGTATTTATTTGAAAATTCATTTGTTGACTGGTCGTCCGAAGATTCATTCGAACAGTTTTCAATTGATTTTGTGCATTTATTTAAAATACGATCGGGCATGAGTGGTGCATCATCGATTGACATTTGCTTTGATTCAAAAATGGTGCGATCGATTGAGGAACACGTTTGGCCACACGAATTCGAATGGTTCACCAAAAATGACATTTTGAAATTAAAAATTTGCGATGATGATATTGCCAATGGTATCCCCGGATTTTGTCCAAAAATCAACGATCGACACTAGACTCTAATTTGTTTTGTTTTTTGTACAACCTTTGTATTGTGCGTACGGAGAAGAACCGAAAAATAAAGAAAAGAATAAATAAAAATGGTTCGATAAGAGCGTTTTGTTTTTATTTTTTTGGTATTTGTTGAGGCCGTCAATGTGGCATATACTATAATTGATTTTTGTTAGCTATACTAGATTGTGACTTGCAACGTAATCATCAGATTGGTTTTTCCAAGCAACTAATGGAATCAATCTTTTCAATAAGTTGAAGTGTATCCAAAGATTGTAAATAGCAACTTTATCTCTTTTGACAATGTGTGTATGAGTATCTATTATTGTTGTTATTGTGCTTTTATTAGTCTTAATTACTTAATGTGTTCGTGTGGGAAAAAGAGTACAAACAAGATATTTGGGTCGATGTTGTGTGACAGGTTGAGTGATGTGTGCGCTGCAGCAGCTACAATTATTCACTTATCACAAGCTCACGAATAGATATTATACAAAATAAAAAATTATTTTAAAATGCGTTTTCATTCCGTTTACATTTGGAGTAATTTTTATCAGAAATCACCACGACCAAGAAGCCAGACAAATACATAAACATCGACTCATGAAGTTCACCAATGAGCTGTGACGCCAGAAATTTTTATTATTTACGAGTATTTTCTCCAAAGTTAGACACACTGGTTGAACGACCGATATGTAGTCAAGTAATTTACTTACTTTTTTTTTCCTATATGGAAAGATTTCAGAAGAAATCGAATAGGGATCGATTCTATATTTAAACCATATGGTTCATATATAAAACTGGCTCCTGTTTTTTTGCATCAAATCAATGGATATTCTCGATTCAATTTTTAGTGGAAAAGAAAGAGTAATAAAGACGGAAAGGAAATGTCTAAAAACAAAACAAAAGCGTCATTCCATAATTCACGATCAATCCAAAGTTTACAACTTCGCATCAAGCAAAAAACGAAATAAATAAGGAAAGAGCTGAAAGAAGAGATCGCATCATCGCGTCAGATGATCAGGAAATCTATTTTGCGCGTAAGCTCGTTACTGCAAACATGTGGTAGTTAGAAACCGTCATTTTATGATGCATAAATTACTATACTGAACGAAGAAAAAAAAGTCTAAATTTCCGGAGAAGAATTATGAATAAATAACAATGCGACTCATTTGAATCATCAAGTCTTGTGTGGAGGAATTCATCCGTTTGGTTTAGTTTTTTTTATTCTTATGTTTAGCTTACAAATCGATTTCACATTTACAGCGTATGTCATTTGAGATAATAATTTTTTTTTGCCATCGTTTCGACTTTTGTCATTAAATTATCAAAACAGATGAACGCACGATTGAAAGTAAATACAATACAGTGTTACCGGTTCCACTTAATTAAGAAGCGTTTGATGCATTCAATTTACAATTTTTTTTTTCGATGAACAAACAAACGTTTCAGATATTTTTCACTTTCAGCGCCGTTCTAAAAAAAAGCCAAACCATTTATGGTATTTGATTGTTTTATCGTTATTTACCAACGCCTCTGCCTGATTTTCGCCGAATAATAAATAGCTTGATTCCGTGCACACAAAAAAAGTGACATCATTCTATCGGCATGCATCATCATACTACTACTCGTTCATTTTCCATTGAAGATGATACTCTTCTACTGTTTGTTATACGCTTTCTGATCAGCTATTGTTCTCCATATTCAACTGATCATCACATTTTGATAAACAAAACAAAAAACGAGAGAGGAACAGAGAGGAAAACAGTTGATTCTCAAGTCATTCGACACTAAACGTATTTTGATGGATGAAACGCAATAGCACAAAATAACAATCAAAGTAACAATTTCTGGTTACATTTTACTTCGAAAATCATTGTCTGACACGGATAATTTAGTTTTTGCGATTTCTCTCTCTCTATCTATTTTTCCGCAACCGTATGTATTATCTGCGGTGATTTAATGAATCTAATAAATAGCTTTGATGAATTCAAATTCGTGTGAAGTTGTTCATAGTTTTCGTATTTGAACTACAAACGAAAATAAGATATACGCCGATTAAAGTGAAAAATTTCTCATAACAAAATGAAATGGTAAAAATACGTTGTTAATAAATTAACTAGACATTTGTTTGATGCCATTTTTTTTGCTCGCTAATTTTCAAGGTCACACACAACTGTCGAAAATTGTCTAATAATATTCGAGAATTTTACAATAAGAGACGATATGCTTGTGCGTGTATTTAATTCTGTAAAATGACTTGGAAGTTGATTAGAACTTAATTACCAGCAACAATAGATCACAACGATGTCGACAATCAACGATAACAAAAAAACTATAATTCATTCAAAAAAACTACTTAATTTTGCTACTTAAATGCTAAACGAAATATGAAAACAAACAAAAAAAAATGATAAAAATGAATTCTATTTAGCATGTGCCATTGTTTGTTCTCTGTAAACCGTGAAATATACTGTATAAATGGTCTGTTAGTGTGTGCAAGTGTTTTCGCAAATTCTTCTAATTTGTGAGTCTCAATAAAAATCATTCTACTAAAACGAAATATAAGCATCTGTCCAGTTTAAACATCAGCATTTTGCAAACACACACACACATTCTATGTTAGTTAAACGAAAATTCAGTTTACTTGGTCAATATCAACGTTGATTTTATTTTAATTCAATTCTGTTTTTCGTTATAGTTTTCAGATAGTCATGGGAAATAATTTGTGTAGAGAACGAATTGCACGAGCTGATAATAGTAAAAGTCCAATCGATCGAATAATCGGAAGATGTGCACAGGTATGCGACAATCAATTATTACGGCGCAATTTTCTTCCAATGTTATAATTAATAAACAAACTTTTTCGCTCATTTTCCGTTTAGATTTGTCCGGCAAATGAAGTGAAGTCAAATTACTGGCAAAAGCACGTGTAAGCATTAGTTTTTTTGTCGTTGCGAGTGTGTGTATGTGTGCGTGTGTTTGTTAAATATCATATTCATTTTTGTAATTTATCTAATGATTTTGTGTTTGTTTTTTTTTTGTTTATCTCATCCTCTGAATAGCTTGGAAACAGGTCCGCCGACAAGATCACAGCCGCAATCATTAAACGACGGTTGGCGTAAAGTCACGCTGACTGTGCCAAATGGTAAAATGTCCGATGATTCAAATTTGGGTGAAACACCTGTAGCACCGCCGCGCCGTAAGCGCTCATCGGTAATTGATCGTCAACCGTGCGGCTTTAAGGAGCTATTCGGAAATAATGTATCACGACGCTCATCGTGTGACAGCATTTTAAAAGATGACCATCCATTGAGCGAACGCGAACAAGAAATGTTGCAGCAAAAACGTAAAAGCAAATCAATATCGGATTTTAATTTAAATGAAATCAAACCAACCGATAGTTTAACAATATCAACGATACGAATACCAGTTACACGAACACTTTCATTAATGGAAAGATCGATGGTACAACAAACAACGATTCCAACACCACGTCCAACGCTTCAACGGAAAATTTCACGCGTTGGCAATAGAAAATCGGACAAATTTTTCGGTGAAAATCTGTCCGATTGTCTGTCCGATGATCCAATAACACCCGAACCCGAACCAACAAGCATTTCATTTACATACCACACCATAAGCACGTTAATTACACCAATTTCACATGATAAAACAATTGAAAGCAAAGATAAACTCGATGAATTTATTGATTCAAATGTATCGAACAACGAAACAAAGTCACAACAAGATAAAACGGATGCAAGCGATATTACAATTACAAGCCCGAAACCATTTATAATTGGCGATCATATTGAATCGAAGCAAATTATTGGCGATAATAAGAAAAGTAGTCTTGATAAAAAAGCCGAATTTTTAATGGCAATGTTGGAGGGCAATAATTCATATAAACCAATGAACAATGATGAACCAAAATCGCCGCCCAGACGATCGTATTTGAAAAAGAGAAATAGCCAATTTGAACCAGTCAACAATAATAATCAAGAAAGTGTCATGGAAACAAAAACGATCACCGACAATAATGCAAATAAAATTCAACCGACGTCGAATGTCGACGATAACGAAGAGTATTACAACGGAATGACACCAGTTGATGAACCTTTAATCGTACCACGAAAACGGCCAACTAAACATATTTGCGATGATGATGATCATCATATTCACAAACACATCGAACATAATCATGGTGCAGCCAAGGAAAATAACACAAACGCAATAATAGCACCAATGAAAGATGAAGATATTGAAAAGTATATTATAATGCAAGTTACAAATTCACCTGAAAAACCGAAACGTGATTTGAGTGTGTATGAAAAATCAAACAAAGCGATTACAGCCAATTTAACTACGTCCAACACACCTGTCGAAGCACCAGCGACCAAGGCGATCATCGAAAATAATGATGCGAAGATTCCCAAAGCAATTCCAAGAGTACGGCATTTGTCACAAGAAAATTTAATGCCCAAAAAAATGGTGTCGTCGAAAAGCAACGATACACTTGATTTGATGCGCATCAAGTCCATGCAAAACAACAATAATAATAATAACAATCCCAATTTTAATGATGAACGATTGGAATCGATTTTAAAACGATACACAAGTCAACAGTCATTTTTCACGAAGGAACTTCTAAGTCAAATCGCCGATCGTGTATATGGATTTCAAGATCCATTCGATATGAACGAATCAGGCGATGATGGTTCACTTAATTGTACGCCCAATTCAAAATTAACAACGCGAAAAATATCTGCACATCGTAAAGAGTCGACTGTTTCACGTCCAATTTTAGAAAATGAATGTGAAGTGAAATCCATCGAAACAGCGCCACCCAAAATTGTTGAAATGGAACACAAATCTGTCAAAGCAATTTCAAACGGGAATGTTTTAAATGGCGAAACAACGACTAAAGAAAATACAAATAATGCCACAAATGAAGATCATCCAATACTTAAAAAAATCGATGAAAAAATTAAACGGGACACCGAAGATTTCCTAAGTATTGAACGAAAGAGTTCAGAGGAATGTAATGGAACAGAGACAGAAGTGAATGGAAATGAAAATATGAGTGAAACTCTAGTGGCATCCGCACAAGACTCGATGAATAAAATTCCAACGCATTCTGATGGAAACAATGCTGTGAGTGACGTGTTAGACGATATTTATAAAAATAATAATAAAATATTGAACGAATTTCAGAAAAATTTAAACGATATCACATTAATAGATCCCAATAAAAATTGTGATAAATCGGAAAATGCCGACAACAGCGATGATGAGAACACGGACAGTGATATAACGGTAAAAGAAGTTCCTGCCAATGAATCGATTGATTTAAAAGCGGAAAATAAAATGCTATCACAAATGAATGGTGCTGGCGAAAAACGCAGTAGCATTGTTGAGGTTGATGCTTGGTTTCTGAAGCATAATAATGATTTATTAAATCTTCCAAGACGTGGATCGGAAACGTATTCCGGTGGTTATGATACACGAAAGGTGTATCCATTTGGAAAATCTGATCCGGGTGCTGGTACCGAATTTTTTGAAAGTAAACCAATATCAAAAAGTGCTGAAGATATTTTAAACGATAATGTTAGCAAAGTCGAACAAAATGGCAATTTAAATGAACATCCATCCACAACCGACCATTCAATCCTATTGAAGTATTTAAAATAAATATACAGTTAATTAATTAAAATCCATTACTCAATAGCTAAATCTATATCTATCTATTATTCATCTGTAGTTTTTAGTAGCAATAACATTAAAAAACATATTTTATGCGTACAAGTGCTCAGTTCTTAGAAATGGATGCATTTTTAACTATGACTATTATACCATACTAACAAATAAATGTGAAAATCTAAATGAATTTTTTTTGTCTTTTATTTTTTTGGCCCTTAAATATAAATAAAATTCTTGCCAGCAATCACAATTCAATGGCTTTTCAGATAGAGAGAAAATTAAGCGTTGAAACATCAACTTATCGTCATTAAAAATTACAAAGGTTTGGTCAAACGCTAAATCAAAAAAAAAATCAACCGTTTTTCAATCGGCCCACATTCAAGTCGTTTCAGACGTATTTCATGTGATTGACTCATTATGTGATTGGCTCATGATAGCCAGTGAGAAGAAATTGCACCAATATGCTTTCGATTGACAGCGACATCTGTGGACATTTTCAAGTTTTCAAGTGATTTGACAGCGAATAAGAATACGTATTCTTATTGTCAGTACCAAAACACATTTCTGAAAAATATAGATTTGAATAGATAAGCTTTTTATATCTAAAAAAAATGTGGATTAATTGAAGAAAAGCAAAATAAATATTTCAACCATTTCAAAAAACTAAAATATATTCAAAAGATTAAATTTTCGAATATCTCGTCTAATATCAGTACCAGAGCGAATTCGTACAATCGTGGTGAATTGAATGCATCCATTTTGAACAATGGCGTAATTAGGGTAATAACTTATATTCAGGCTTATACATTCTGTCCGACGACCAACGAAGACACTTCACAGCAGATATTCATTGCGAACGATACATTGTAAAAATGTATCGGTAAAAAAGTAAATTTGGAAATTAACCAACTCGTTCTCAAAAGTTACAAAGAAAAAAAAAAAGAGTGAAAAATCTGTCATTTTATGCAATATCAACGAAAAAGTGCACTTTTAAAGTGAAAATTATAAAATATTAGTGAATTGCGTTGTTTGATACATCGACATAAACATTAGCACAAGAAAAGAAACATTCAGATCTTGTGTCATTTGAAATTGTTTTTCATACGCATACTGCGAATAGTTTTGAAATAAAGACGACGAAAGGTTTATTCAGAAATGACACAATATTTGCCACCAAATTTATTGGCACTATTTGCTCCACGCGATCCATTACCATTTCTACCACCACCCGATAAATTGCCACATGAAAAGAAAACAAAAGGTTATTTAGGCGTTGGACAGTTTTTGTCGAATTTTGAGGTTTGTATCATTTGAACATGTGCCATCTATCGTAATTGACTTTTTTTTTAATCAAATGTATATTTTGTTGTTGTTTTTTTCCATCATAGGATCCTAGTGAAACTCCGCCACCAACCCGTGTTGAAACACGTGAGGAACGTTTAGAGCGACGTCGAAAAGAAAAGGCTGAACAAGTTGCTTATAAATTAGAGCGTGAGATCGCCATTTGGGATCCAAATCAACTTCAAGATGCCACAGAAGATCCCTTCAAAACATTATTCATCGCTCGTATCGTATGTATTTTGCAAACGAATTTTCATTCAATTTGTTTCTTTTTGCCAATTCTGATCAAGCATCTTTTTACCGTTACAGAACTACGATACCTCGGAATCGAAACTGCGTCGTGAGTTTGAAGTGTATGGGGCAATTAAAAAAATTGTCCTAGTTCACAATGTTGACACAGGAAAGCCTCGTGGCTATGCTTTTATCGAGTACGAACATGAACGTGATATGCATTGTAAGTAATCAAAAATTTGATATTTTCTTCCCTTAAATCGACAAATACGCGTAAAATAATTTGCCGATTAATTCATTTGCAAGTGATACACGCAAAATATTTGAACAAAAAACAAAAAAAGAAAACCATACATCATTGCTGTAATTTCATAAATGAACTGAACAGTTTCAATGACAAATCAATTTTTGATTCAAACTCCTTCTGTGAGGTGCAATCAACCAACTATTATACAATGAAAACATTCGCGCATAAGAGACAAAAAATGAGAGTTAATCCGTCGAGTCAATTTCCTCAAGCACCGAAGAAATTCCATTTTAAAATGAACACGTACGAACTTAAAACAGTGAACAAGTGGCCCGTTTATTCGTTTCATTTGACATAAATATAAAGTCGCAGATGACAGACACTTAAAATTTAAATCGTGTTATTTCACATCACAAATAAAATCACACGCATAACAAAATTCAATATTTAAAAGAAAAGAAAAAAATGAGAAAAAAAACATTCCGAATCATTGGAAAAACAAATACTTATAGAATAGGTTTGTATGGGTTTGGTAAGATTGAGACATAAACAAAAAAAAATCAAAAAACAAACACGAATACGTCGAGTATTTTATTCCCCACATTAGATTACACATTTTCCAAGTAAAAAAAAAATAAATACCGTTTTGTGTTGTTGTTATTGTTGTTGACATAAATAGATCATCGAAAATGCAAATCGAATGCTCGATTGGTGGCCTGGAATATCAATTGGTAACAGTATTTTTGGTAAATTGTTTTTAGATAAAACTAGATGTGCGCCAATTGCTCAGGTTGACCATGTGCACCAATTTATTCTTTTACAAAACCATTTTTTTCAATGTCATCCATTGTTTTTTTATTCATTTGAATTCCGATTTCTCTGGGTAAACTATGATCTTATTTTTATTCTTACGCATTTATGGCATCATCACATTTGCAATTTTCAATTAAATGTTTCGTTTACATTCCATGTACAGCCGCAACAACAAACAAATAGTCTGATTTACATTCTGGACATTTGCAGTAAAAAAATATTTTTTTCTACTTAATTTGTATTTCCTTCTTGCAAAAATTTTCAATTTAATTTAATGTCAACAATTGAAATGCACGGTCACCTGAAAATGTGGCGCATACTTCTAGTTTTCACATATACACTCAACAGAAAAAAAAGGTTTTATTTCATAATTTTTTTTTTAATTTTTCAATGCTCTACCCAAATAAATAATTCTAATAAATAAACTGATTGAATAAAATAAAATGTAGCGCATATACGTAAGTATTGAGCGCTCCAGGTAAAGGTATTTCTATCCAGTCAATGCAAAACGAAAATAAAACGGGACAAATTTCTCAATATAGATTTATCAATAAAATTGCGACACAAAATCGAATTCGATATTTTGCACGAAATAAAACATTCAATGCCACCCAAAACCATGTAGCAAATATATTCTGCTCAACCAATACGCCAAAAAAAAACAACAAAAAAACCCTCATACATGTGTATTTTTTTCTCTTTTTCGAATTAAAAACGAGTATGCTCATTCCGTAAGTAAAAACGACAAACCCACCAAAAAAAAAACAGTAAGATAAAATAGATCACAATGCGAATTAATATATATATTATATTGGTCAATTGATTAAATAAAACATTGAAATCAGGGACCGGTAGGTATAATGATTATAATCACATTCGCAAAAACATACATGTTTTCATATTTGAATTTACATTATCAAATGAAAGTTTTTAATTTCCAGTACATACGGTAATGTCGATATAAAAACCAATTAAAACAAACAAACGAACAAAATAAATAAATGAATAATTTACAAAGCAAAAGGTACAGAGAATAGAGGAAAGACTGTTTTTTTTCAAAGTGCATCATGGAAACAAAATGCTTTCTGGATTAGGTTTCAATCAAATGTTTGACGATTTCTTATTCTACCTTCATTTTTTTTTGTTTCGAGTGTGTAAATCTACTTCAATGATGGAAAGTGTCTCATAGGTGTCTGTGTCAATCAATCCAAATAAATTACGCAAAACCAAATATAACACAAAAAGAACCGAAAAAAAAAACAAAACAAAACAAACAAACAATTAATACACATTACGGAATTAGCATGAGCTAATCACATTGAAAACAACATAATTTTTTAAGGTCAATACCATTTCTTTTTGCAAATAACATTTTAGCTGCGTACAAACATGCTGATGGTAAGAAAATTGATGGTAAGAGAGTATTGGTCGACGTTGAGCGCTCAAGAACGGTCAAAGGATGGCTTCCTCGTCGTTTAGGTAAGAATCACTTTTCCATTTTTTTCTCTATTCGAACAAAAATGGACTGAATTATACTAATCAAATTTTTTATTTAATTTTCACTAAATAGGTGGTGGTTTGGGTGGAACAAGACGTGGCGGTCCTGATGTAAATATTAAACATTCTGGACGAGAAGACAATGACAGAGAACGAGAAAGATATCGCATGGAAAGAGAGCGTGATGATTATAGACGCGACTTTCGAGACAGAGAACGACGTGATCGTCGATCACGGTCTCCGAAAGTTCGTGACCGTGTTAGAAGTAGAAGTCGAGATCGCAAAGAACGGAAACGACGACGATCAGAGTAAGTCATGCGCACATCACATTACGGTAATCATTTACATTATCATTGAATTTTCGCAGGGAAATTGAATACGAGAGAAGAGACTCACGTCGTGATCGTGAAAGAGAAAAGGAACGTAAACGTAGTAAGCGATCGAGATCCCGAGAAAGAAAGCGAGATAAACGTGATAAATCACGTGACAAACGCGATAAAGAGCGTAAAGAACGAAAACCAGAATATGGTGAAATTAAAATCAAAGAAGAACCAGTTGATGATGGTACGATCATTTATTTATTTTAAATTCAACATTACATTTAACTGGCAAACACTATCAAGGCAATCTGATCGAAATTGAGTTTGTTGCTTTGTTAAATTTGCTAAATTATTATGTAAACGTAAACATTTTGTTTCAAAATAAATGCGTTTGAGATTACAGGGCCTCAAGTTAACAAGCATAAACTTATTGGCAGTATACATCTCGTACAGCATCACCAATTCATAGCATATATTATAAAATTCAAACGAATCACAAAATGATTTACGACAAATGTTTTTTTTCTGTCTCTTTAGATTATCCTGACTATAATTCACGTATCTACAGTTCATACGGAGCCGAAGTCAAGTATGAAGATGGCGAAGAACAGAAATATCGACCGCAGGTTTGTCTTTTTTTTTTCATTTCTTTTGTCCCGAAAAGCGTGAACGACATTTTTGATAATAAATTTTTGATTTTTTTGTTTAGGAAAACAATGGCCAGTACGGACATAATGACGATGATGACTATGATGACAGAGGATACTAAGTTTTATAAGTTTTTAGCGTGTAGCAGCGGAGCTCATACAAATGCGTTACTGTCAATTTATACGGTATTGAAGTAACGCAATATTGAACTCTCCACAATTAATATTAATCAAGCAAAAATGATTCGATTAATTATTAATTTTTATTTTTATTTTTGAATCTAAGAAAAACAAGTTAAATGCTCCGTAAAATATTTCATTTGCGCTACTTTTATCTCGCTTTCGTTCTCCAAAATATACAAAAATCGTTTTTTTGGTAGGTATACACAAGTTAATTACAATTTTCCTATAAACAAACAACAACAAAATTAATAACTTTGACAGGCGCTATGATTTGTAAATTTTATTAATCAAATGTTATTTTGCAAACGGAATAAAGTGAACGAAAACGGCTTTTGCAGTGGCAAACACAATAAAAATTACAAACATATTTTCATTTCATTCTTTTTCTCCTTTTAATAGCCTTCTAAAAAATATTAGTTTCAGCATAGAAATCATGATAGAAATATACGTAAAAAGGATAGAAAAATATTTGCAAAGTCGTAGAAAATTCTTATGACGATTGGAAGAAAAAAAAGTATGTTTTTTAATCAATAATAACGTATCAATAATAATTTATGGTATAATCTGCCAAAATGGTTTTTAAGTTTTCAATCTTTTTCAACAATAAACATACTTGAAAAAAAAAATGCATTTTCGTAACTTAAATGAGACATGAACATTTCATCGGTGTTGATTGGATTTTTGGTAGTACAGTTCATTATGAAGAAGAGGCTTTCACCATCACCATTTCATATGGGAATTGTGAATCCTTAAATTAAGGTCTTAGGGACCTTAATTGAGTCGATTATAAAGGGGTCTTATTGCAGAGAGATTTCTAAATGTTTATAATTAAATTGTTATTCCAATAAAATGAATCAAAATGTCTTTGAGATTATATTCATTAACGGCTAGCATTTCTTTGTGTGCATTATGTCTAAAGTTGAAGCTTGACTTTCTGTCAGACAAATTTGAAGGTGACAATACTTCGATCTCGTTGTGAGTTTTGTAATTAATGAAAATGTATTCAAATGAAAATTCATCCAGACTGAATGAATTTTTTTTAACACGTTAAAAATCATTTTCATCGACAATAATTTCGAAAAAATTGCATAATATTGCAAACAATTTCAAATAAAACAAAAATTATTGCTGAGTTCAAACATGACAAACATTTTTCATTCTCGTCGATTATAAAGAGCAAAAGTTAAGAAAAATACATTTTTAAAATTCACCAAAAAAATGTGGTGTAATTTATATTAAACAAAAGCTAAATAAAATATCGAAATGAATTTGAAAAGAAAAAATCCCATTTGCTTGAAAGAAATAAGCTACCATGAATCGAATGGATAGCAAACGATGTTGCTTGGGATAAAAAGTAGTGTTAACACAGCAAATATTGAGCGATTTTTAATATCGATTTGTAGATGGCATTTTAGTAGTGTATGTAGTGTTTTTGACAGTACGGTAAGTCTTATCTGCCATTTTTATAACATATTGCAAATGTAACTCGCATATATAGTTTTTTTTATGTTATTTTTGTAAGAACAAAAAAATAATTTAGTGATTATTTCATAAAATTTTTATCGTTTCATTTGTTTGAAATTAACAATAGAAAGGCATCCAAATCGATCATTTAACAATGGACGTTGGTAAGTAGTGAATTTAATTGAAAAATAACAAATAAATGTTACGCCCTTTGATACGACACACAGAGAAAGACAGAGAGAACAGACATACAAAATCCCCCAAAGTGAAGCAGCAACTAAACCATTTCGAAATGAATACAAATCGAATTCATGTATCTGTATAGATTTTGTAAACGATGGTTGAACGAAATCAAACAAAAAATGAATGAAACTTTGACGAAAAATGATGGCAACAAGCGAATGTAAAAAAATACAAATTTCATTTGTAATTGTGCAAACGAAAGTTAGGTTAAGTTTATTTCATTTTTATTATGCATCTATCACAGAAAAAAGAAACGAAATGCGAAATGAATAAGTGTGTATAGCCAACAAAGTCAACTACGTTTAATTGCACATTTCTCGTTTTCATCGATTGATTCATTGCAGCCAGTTGGTTGGCTGACTAATTCCAAATGTATCGACTCCAAAAATGCAATATCGTCACATCACACAAAATAAAAATTAAATACATTTGCAAATCAAAGCAGACAACGCAAAAATTGACAAACAAAAACGAAAAACATACAACGATCAATATGATACCATAACAATGGAAAATAACAAAGAAATTCTTTAAGATGTTGCATCAAAACTAGTTGATTGTGTGTGCTTTGACTTTTTTTAGCGTTGCATGCGTTGCATTGATATGAATATTCATTGCTATCGAAAGGCACTCAAGACTTCACGACGACAACAACGACAATGACAAACAATGAAAATCGCATAAAGCTTGCGATGTTGTTGTTGTTTCGTTGTGTGTGTTTTTTTTTTGTATTTTTGCTCTGGTTCGCTTGCTGTTAGATTTTTTATTTTCAAGTTTTCTTGACATTGGCTTTTGTTAAGAGATTCAATTTAGAGGAAGTGATGCAATTTTCTAGTTTGTGTTTTATAAAAAACCAACAACAACAACCATAAATGTTGCTATAGAATTCGGAATACATTTATGGCAATCTGAAGGATTTTCGATGTGATTCTTTTCAAAACTGTACTCTCTAACGAATAAAAAAAAACGCAACTGTTCATGTTGTTTTAATTAACAACTATTCGCCAGTTAATATAAATACAAAAAAAGCGATGATAAAATGGTGTAAAATAAATTAGACGTTCTGTTTAAAAAAAAAAATGTGTAAAAGTTCTCATTGGTTTTTTTGTGTGTCTGGTTTTACGTTTATTTATTTTACATATGTCTCTTGTCAATTTTGCCATTGCATTTGATTTGTTTACATTGTTCTTTCAGGGGAACGGATTTGGGATGAATTATCCATACAGCCAGAAAGTGAAAGTTCATCGAAACTGAGTATATCAGATATGCTAACCAACGTGGCCACAGATGCAAACGAAGGAAACAGGTATGTTCAATATCATTTTTTCGATACGATTTCTCATCACTTTTTTTCACATAAAGATTACTTTTCGTTATGTGTCTTCCGAGAAAACTCGTCTCTGACCATTCAATACTCACGACAACAATGATGGATATCATAATGGGATTTACATTTGACAATCAGACCCAAAAACCATATAAAGTTATTTTTGAATGAAGTATTTGCGCTAGTTTTTATTTCTCTCTTATCCTTCCAATGACCAATGTTTAGATTATACTTGCATGGAATCGAACGATTCATCTTTTCGACACCAACAAGAAAACAAGAAGAGAAAGAATAAATCAATAATTTCTATGTCCAGTTGTAAATGGCTCGAAAATTATATATAATCGATCTCAATCAATATATATGATATATGGTTTTGTATCCATGGCAAATGTCACAAACCATATAAATGTAATCTCTATACATAAGATGCTTGTCTCCAGTCTCATTTGACAGCATAGCAAACATTCATTCGAAAACAAGTGACAAACAGACGGAAATTTCACTGGAATTATCATAAAATCGATTTAAATTCAACATTCAATTTAGATTAATTTCGCCAATTCGCAAACTGGCAACTGGAAAGTACGAAGGATTCGATTTCAATATACAATATGTGTATGCAATACTAATCAAATGAAAGCTTTTTATGAATCTATAGATAAAAAGGGGAGATTTTGCTACGATTGATCATTTTTTTATTGCTCTGTGGTATTTTTTTTTTCTTTCATTTTCTTTGTTGTTTCGCATTTCAACGCATTTGTAATTTAGTATAACTATGGATTTATGAAGTGAACATTGATTAGATTGGAACAAAAAAGTCCTTTATGATTGTCCAAAGAGAGAAAGGGAGCAATATGCATTTATTTCGTCTCTTTGGTCATTTTTCATCTCATTTTTTTTTTCCTTTCTTTACTCGCCCTCCATTATGCGTTTATTATGCAATTTGCAATGTGTTAAAGTCGATTTTGAGCATGTGCCCGTCTACTGTTTGTCCAGCGCTTGTGTTTGCTGATGCAAAATCCAAAGTCAATGTACCATGAAAGATTCATTTCAAACGGCTTTACTATCAATTAAATTTCGCTCGTGAATCAAGCTGATTTTTTTTTTAAATAAAAAAAGAGTATATATTGTGAGAGTAGAAAATACAAAACGGAGAATCTCAACCAATGTTTGTTCTTTCAATCATTTGCCTTTTTTGCTTTTGTATTTGTAATCTTATAATTCGGCCATTAAAATCACTGATTTGTTTTCCCTCGACATTTGAATCGTCATATAAATCAAAAACTGGTTCAGAATCAACGAGGGCGATATAAATAATTTAGCAGATAGTAGAAAGGAATCAATGGGTTGCATTCACGTAAAATACAATTCTTCTTATTATTACTATTATGGTCACGGTGATCAACTGCATATTGTGATAATGAGCCATTGTGCCATCATTTGCACGTATGATGACTTTTCGCATATAAAATTCGTGTTGGCCAAGATTTCAAACGTATCTAGACCAAGAGAATTTATGCATTTTGATGTGCAATGCAATTAAATGATCAAATAATGAAGAACTATGTGAAAAATTGAGTTGCTGAACTATGTCTCACAATAATGTAAACAAAGAAAAAAGAGATGAAGATTGATAGGGAAAACGAGAGAGGGAGGCAGTTAAAGAGAGGAATTTTATGTGCATTCAAAGGTGAAAGAGTAAAAATTTGCCATTTGAATGGTGGAACCTTACGGGAAATCGAAAGTGAGTGAGACAGACAATGCGACCGACAGCAAGCTAATGCCAACAATGAATTGATAGAAGATATTATGTATTTGAAGTGAGCCTGTTAGTGATTTTATTAATCTTTTACGGCAATTTCTGTTATTCTTTAGTCAGTGAAGTTATATAAATAAATATATTTATCTGAAAAAAATAATATAAATGGATAACAATAACAATAAGTCGCACATAAAACCGTATGCTGGATGCGATGTGAAAATATTTTAATGCACGTTTATTTGCAACATTGACATGGCGCTGTTACTCTGTGTGTGTTTTTTTCCCTTAAACATTTCATTTTTTTCTTCTTGTTTCGTTTCGTTTGTGTTGCAATTTACGGATACGTTTGCTTAGAAACAATGCACAATTTGATACACAAAACTCTATTCATCGTTGTGCAAATTGTATGCATTATTATATGACGTTTACATGTAATTGAGAGGAAAATATAAAGCAATAATAAAACCGAAGACACACAACGAAAGCAGCAACACTTTATGCGCGATATGATGAACAAATAATGAAAATACACTGTGCATTAGGGCACGCGCCAAACTAAATAATAAGAACTTTGTTCAATATATATATTATCGGTTGGCGGTGTGCATTTGTTATATTTTCTCTCTCGTCGTTTTGTTGTTGTCGATCTCAGTGTGTTTTTTTTTATTTCGTACTCATTCAGTTCATTCGCTGGTGTATGTGTGTTTATGTGCCTTTCTTTCATTCTACGCTTCATTATTGGATAATTTAACAATTTTTTCCACGCTGTTTTTCGAAGATACGATTCAGTACACAAATAAATAATAATAAAAAAAGCACACACACACGAAATAAGCGATGTACCGATGATTTGTCCATGCAGACTTGCTTTTCGTAGCACATAAAAGGAATAGTAAGTGACTAAATAGCACGTTGAAAGTAACGAGAAATGAACAGTGGAAAAAAAACGTCCGTCACCTGTCGAAACCGTTTTTCGTCGTTGAGGCATTTTAGCACTCGTGTATGTTTTCTTTCCTCACATTACACGATACATCGTATAAGCTTACCTTACCGGCCGCTCAATACATACGTAAACACAAAATGACTGAGGAAAAAAACAACAACTACCACGGCAACATCCAAGAAATACAAACACACATACGTGGTACTGTGGTCAATATCCATTTTTCTTCGTCAAATGATGACCTTATGTTCGCTTATTACGTTCACTTTCGATTAATTATTTCTTCTTGAATTAATATCCTGTTATATATTTCACTCCCCTTCAGTACCATTTTTTATCGTCATCGTAGTTGTTGTCGTCGTCGTTGCTGCTGTTATTTTTCACGGTGTTCGATTGTTTGGAAGAATTTCATGTGTGTAGGCACATTTTAAATTTTGTCGCACATGCACACAAAACAACAACAAAAAATGCAAAGCAAAGAAGACCTAAAAGTATACCACATCCATTGCATTCTCTCATTTCCATTCTTTGAACCATACAAAGGCTCAATGTTTTGCCAATGATGAATCGTACTAAGAATGGTACACACGGCAAACGTTGACTCAACTTGTTTTATCGTGTAAACGTGAATGGGAAACACCCTTCGGGTTCGGGCTCACGAAGACGAAGTTTTCCGTTTTGATAGGAATTTTTTTTTTCCAACCCCATAACAAATGCAAGGGACAAGCGAAGAGAAAGAATGGGCAAAAGAGAAAGGTTCCCGGTTTCGACTGACGTGCAGCGAATGTTTATTGACCTCATGTTTTTATAGTCAGCACACGGATCCATATATTGCTAAAATATGTTACTATACTTTATCAAATGAACATTCTCGCATTCACACTGGACATGAAACAAATGTCACAATGGATTCTAGTTTTATATGACAAAAAAAAAGATAGAGAGAGAGAGAGAAGAAATGATTGTGTGAAAATTGATGGACATTACGGTTAATCTCATAAAAAATTGTTATCAATTAATTATCTGAAATGCATAGTGAAAGCAACGGCTGAAAGCCACATAAAATGGCATCGAATCGGTTATTGTTCAATTGAAAGTGACGAAGAGAATAAACCAAACTGCATCGAAAACAAATGAAATGGCATTTTATTAATATGTCGATCAAGTTCATCAACAAATCAAATACTATAGTTTCAACCCTCAAAAATACAACAAATGCACGCATATGGATTATAACGAGTTTAGCACCAAGACAAACTTATGTCACATTCGATTGCATTTAAGTCGCATTGAATCGAACAGAACCGATCTGATACACATAAATTTGTCAGACATAATTCGTCCATAATAAGCATTAATGAACGAACCAGGAGCTTGGCCTCAAACTGAACGAAAACGAAAAAAAAATAAACAGTTTTTTTCTTCTTCAACATTATTCACATTTAATTTATAGAAACAGAAATGTTTAGCACACACATACATGAATTTATATGCATCTCTCTTTCTCTGTCTCTCGCTCGCTCTCAAATGCGCGTAATTTCTACTTTATTCATCTCTTTTTTTTTCCTCCAGTAAACTCATTTATTTATTTTATATTTCAAATATAACATCTGCTGTTTATGTGTTTCATCTACGGTATTTTTTTTGTTCCTGTTCACTTCAATTCTTATATACATCAGTGGTGCATTTGCTGGCTTCTATATGTCTGTCTCGTGTTCGAGCATGTGTTAGTGTTGTGTCTCGTGTTGTGCATTGAAAACTACAGATGTTAATTTCAATTTTCGTTTTGTACATACTCGTGTGTCGTACGACATACACTTCACATCCTCTCTCTCTCTCTCTCGCTCACTCTTTCGCCTTGGTTTTTTCCATTTCATGTTTTGTTCCATTTCGTTTGCATTGACATTAAAAGGATGAAGTAAACGATGGATGGGCAATGATGACTATGAGATACCTCTGAACTAAATCCTACCTTCCATTCCGGCTTTTCTATGTGTCTATCTGCTTTCTCTGGCACCGTGTTCACTTTTTTATTTCATATTTTTGTTTGAAATTGACCAGATTAATGTCGGATTCAAGCGCCGTCATACAAAAAAAGATAACTTCGACACGAAAAAAAAAGGACAAATAGATTAAAAGTGTAAAGTTGTTAACAAATATGAACATTTGAAATTTCAAAATAAATGAGACACCACTTCAAATGTCAAGAGCAATAAAGGCAAACAATTTTAACGTATCAATTTACACAATGGTCACATTGAAAATCGCATT